AATAGCAGGTCTCTTCTGCCTTACAGACCTCCTTAATGTTATCTCTTGTGGTTCACCTTCCTCTTATTCATTTGTGACTTGCGCATCTTTAGTTGGTTCATCCTCTATATGTTGTTCTTGTGGGTTTAGAACATTAACTTGTTGTCTCCTTATGTTGTGTGACCATGATACAATAAGAAGAACAATAACTGGAGAAGAGACACCCAACTACAGGAGTTTCCGCACGTGTCTCTTTAATTTTCACCTTTCGTGTTTCATCACTCCCACTAAATTGACCATTTTCAATGAACCTTACATTTCCAGACTCAACTATTCTCATACTATAGTTAGGACAGTAAAATTTGTACCCTTTTGATTTCTCAAGATAACCTATGAAATAACCACTAATAGTTCTAGCATCAAGCTTCTTTTCATGTGGATTATACACTTTTACTTCTGCTGGACAATCTCAGACATGAAGATGTCTTAAACTGAGTTTTTTTCCTGTCCACAGTTCATAAAGAGTCTTTGGAACTACCTTATTAGGAACTCTGTTAAGCAGATACGCAGCGGGCTTTAATGCGTACATCCACAAAGACATAGGTATAGAACTGTAACTCAACATATCCTAACCATTTCCATGATAGTACAATTTCGCCTTTCAGTCACACCATTTTGTTGTGGTATACCAGGTATAGTATACTGTGCACATATGCCTCGACTTTCCAAAAGTTTAGCAAATGGACCTGGACATTGTCCACTTTCATCAGATTTTCCATAATATTCACCACCTCTATCTGATCTCACAAACTTTACCTTTCTATCTAGTTGCCTTTCCACCTCATCAATGAACACCTGTAAGACATTCATTGATTGAGATTTTTTATGCAAAACATACAGATAATAATAACATGAGTAGTTATCAATAAAGGTAATGAAATATCTTTCACCACCCTAAGATGGGATGTCAAACGGACCATAAATATCAGTGTGTACCAACTCTAAGAGTTGCCTACTTCTTGTGGTTGGATTCTTTGATGTGTGTTTGGTTTGTTTTCCTTTAATACAATCCACATATATATCCCAGTCAACAAAATTCAAATGAGGTAAAATTTTACTTTTCATTAACCTTATCATCCTTGCTTTGGATATGTGACCTAACCTTTGATGCCACAAGAAAGCAGAACATTCATTACGCACATTCAAATTACTACTAGCAGCATTTTCAATAAGAAACAGAGATTCAGCAAATTTAATATTAATATTGAAACGATATAAACTATCAATTAATGTACAAGATCCAAAACAGTACGAGTGTTTATACAAAGAAAAATTTTTCTTTCCAATCTTAAAATTAAAACTAAATTTGTCCAACTTTGCAATAGAAAACAAATTTATGGCACATTCAAGAACATAAAGACACTTTTCTAGATCTATGCAGCAACCAATATGCAAGATCAATCTCTAAGTCCCTATTCCTTCTATCCGTGCTTTTATTTTGTTACCCATGTTCAAGAACTTTTCAATTCCACTTATGGGTTGGATCGAAAGAAATCCCTACATTACATATGATACATGAGTAGTTGCACCAGAATTTAACCACCAGGTGTTTTTAGGTACCTTAATAAGATTTGATTCAAAGCATACTGAAACATAATATATACCTTTCCTTTCGAACCAAACCTTTCTCTTCGTACAATCTTTCTTGAAATGGCCAGTCTTCTTGCAAAAGAAGCATCTCTGATCCTTCTGGATTCGGCCTTCGTGAACCTTTAATAAGGCTTTATCCTTCTCGTCCTTGTTGTCCTTCTTACCTGACTTAACCTTGCTACTACTAGCCCCTTCATGAAATGTGAGATAGACGGAGTGTTCTTTCACCTTCTTTAGCCTCCCTTCTTCTTGAACCAGGATGACCTTAATTTCCTGTATGTTCCATTTATCCTTGATGGTGTTGTAATTCACCTAGAACCAACCAAACTCAGGAGGGAGTGAGTTCAAAATGAACTGTACTAAAAAGAATTCCTTTACGTCCATGCCCATTGATTTTAACTTTGCTGCTTGATTGATCATGTCAGTCACATGGCCATGAATAGGCCGTGACCAATCAAACTTCTTAGTAGTCAGCTCAATTAACAGGGTACCTGATACGAACTTGTCAGTAATGTCCGATTATGCATACTCTTTTACCTTTGCCATAAATTTCCTAACATTTTCAATCTTTGGCATCGATGGCTTCACATTTTCAGTCATAGTCATCTTCAGCAAGCTCAAGCTCAACCTGTTCAACCTTTTCCAAGCTTCACGAAGAGTCTTTTCCTCTTCAGTACTGATCTCTATGATGGCTGTAGGTTCTTGTTCCATAATGATTGTTAGGTCTAAGTCCATAACACCTAGCTGGAATCGAACTTGTTCAACCCAATCATCATAATTGAGCCCATTGAACTTGACTATGTCATTGCTCATGCCATACGTATTCATAGGGACTGAAATATTTAATACATGCTTAAACATTTATGCTTCGAATAAACTTAATAGATTCAGATAGCCAACCATTATCAATTACGCATCTAAGTTTACCTTTAGGTAACGCCTAAATACACAATTTATCTATAATGATGCTAATAAACAACTTTAATTGACAACCAATCACTCAAACCAATATGCAAATGATCTTTGGATATACAAACATATTATGAAGTGCTTACATGTCTCCTTAATGTCATTAATTATATGCAGTGATCCACCTTTCGGCGATCTCCTAGCGTTATAATTAATGAGCTAAATTGTTCATCTTTGTTTCTATATAGCATTAAACAATTTTGAACAATTTACAACACACAATTAAATACTTAAAGAACTTTTAAAGACAGACCACTTTGGTGACTAACAAGCTACCCTTAAAATTAAGCAATAAATTGTGAAGTTCTCATTATGATAATGTAATTTAGAATTAATTAACTTGAGAATTTAATCACTTTGGTGAGTAAAATTCACTTTGATGTAATTCTAAAATTATCTATATATTTTATGAATCATTTTCCTTATTCTGCCGTAAGATTACTATGCACGGCCGTGCTTTTACTTGATGCATGGCCGTGCTTCGATGAAGCAAGGTAATGCTCATTTCTGATGCATGCCCCTGCTTCCTGAAGCATGGTTGTGCTTCCTGAAGCATGATTGTGCTTCCTGATGCATGGTCATGCTTATAATTGATGCATGGTCGTGCTTACAATATGCAAGGTTGTGCTTCATTGAAGCATGACCGTGATTGTTCCTGATGCGTGGCCTTGCTCCTTGATGCATGACCATGCTCATATTACAGATTCAAAATCCAATATTTCTAGCTTCCAAAACCTTGGAGTTTTCAGTTATTGAATCCAAAATAATTATTCAACATCAAAATAATGTCAATCCATCATATAAAATACCTAAGATTCACGTAATTTGGAAAAAAATTTAATGGAGAATCAATCTCTTATGAAGAATCAACGAAATTCATAACCTTACTATGAAACCAACTGTTAGAATTTTCTTTGATCCATTATGTAACTTCCATTGTGCAATGACTATTATGAAATTACATTTTCCCTTTCCTCTTGAATTATGTTGTTCTCACAACACAATATATGATTCTCACACAATTAAGGATTTAGAGAGCATTAACTTGAATCCATTGTTCCTTGATGTTACCTCTCTCTTTAATGTCGTTGATCTCTTAGTATTTTCCTCAACTCTTCCTTCTTCTTTAGCTCCTCTCAGATGGTTGAGAGAAAGTTCCTTTCTTGCGTTTATCGTGAGTTCACTCAGAGACCGTGAAAGTGAAAGAATAGAAAATACCGTAACCTCTATTTGGTAACCGCTCTTTTATTTATATGAAGGGAGAGGGAAGGGTTTCCTTATAATTGTATTTATAATTATACCTTCAATGACTTTATATTTTATATTTTACCACCATCACGTTAAATCATTAATTAGAATCATGCTATAAGTTACATAGGCTACTATAATAAAATTATTAAAATAATCTAACACATTTTGCCTCACTTTCGACAACGAACAATCAAGGACCACATGTCCCGTTACTCAGCTACACAAATAAGAGTTTAAACCCAACTCAAACACCATAGCCCTCTATTTTCTCACATTTCTTATTCAACACCTGAAAAAAAAAAAAAAAAAAAACTAACCACAACCATGCAACTCAATCTCTAACGACCCTAACATAATACACATCTCTTTCACACACAATACATGCATTTACAATGTTACGGCTCGTACCTTGGTCCCGTCTGACATCGTCTATGCATCGTTATGTCTCATCATCTTTGAAGTCATGCCGCCCTTCAATTTTTCCAACCACTAATTTGAATCTTAACAAAAGGTGCTAATATCAGCAAAACAATGTTGTTTTAGTGCTACATTGGCATCACACATGTCACTTGTCAGCCAAAGCTAACGTTTTCACGGCGTCTGTTAACTTTGAGGACTTAACTGCCTGGTGTGGTACCATATCAGGGACTAACAGGGCAATTTAAAATGGTAAAGGACTAATATGTCTGTCCATTATTATTTGAGGGACTAATTTATGAGTTTACTTATATATTTATATGTAATATATATTAATTACATTTTACTTGTAGGCACTTCTATGCAAGATCAGTTCCTTTTCTAGTATTTATGCATGTTGATGAATATTTTCTTGTTTATTTAAGTATGGAAGATGATATGGCTAACGTGTGTTTTTAAATCAAAATTTCTAATTTTTCTGATGTTGATTCACCCAAAAGAATAATGAATAACAATAGTTCAATTTAATTATACTCGCATACTTTTATGTTAGGCAACGGAAAATACTTTCATTCTCATTGCCATACAATCTTTTATAAAGAGCAGAGATCATGCACATGCACTTGCACTTGCACTTGCACTTGCACTTGCTCATGTTTCTTCCTCTTCTCAGATACTAGATGCTTATTTATAACTTTTGATTATTCATCTTGTTCTTGATCTGTATTTTATAGGAATGAGAGTGAAGATATCAAGAATATTGTTGAACATGTCGCTCATTTGGTAGATAAGACAGAATTATTTGTTGCTAATCATCCTGTGGGAATAGAATCTCGCTTGAAAGTTGTGATCGAACTATTAAACAACCAACAATCAAAAGATGTTTTATTTCTAGGAATTTGGGGAATGGGAGGGTTAGGTAAAACAACCATTGCTAAAGCCATTTATAACCAAATTGGGCGAAATTTTGAGGGTAAGAGCTTCCTCTTAAATATCAGGGAAATCTGGGAGCAGAATACTAATAGAGTTTCTTTACAACGCCAGATTCTTAGTGATATTTGCAAATCAACAGCATCGAAGTTACTTGACATTGAATCAGGAAAAAATATATTAAAGGAAAGACTTGCCCAAAAAAAGGTACTCCTTATACTTGATGATGTGAATAAATTGGATCAATTGAATGCTTTGTGCGGTAGCTGGGAATGGTTTGGCTCAGGAAGTAGAATAATCATCACAACAAGAGATGAACATCTACTTAAAGTTCATGGAGTTGATCATATACATAGAATGGAAGAAATGAATGAAACTGAATCCCTTGAGCATTTTAGTTGGCATGCTTTCAAGAAAGCAAGCCCTAAAAATGATTTTGTTGAACTTTCAAGGAATGTTGTCATTTATTCTGGAGGATTGCCCCTAGCACTTGAAGTTCTTGGGTCCTATTTGTTTGATAGGGGAATAACAGAATGGAAAAGTGTATTGGATAAATTGAAAAAAATTCCCAATAATGAAGTACAGAAGAAGTTGAGAATAAGTTTCGATTGTTTAAATGATGATAGAGAGAAAGAAATATTCCTTGACATAGCTTGCTTCTTTATTGGTATGAATCGAAATGATGTTATACAAATATTAAATGGTTGGGGATGCTTTCCAGAGATTGGAATTAGTGTTCTTGTAGAGCGAAGCCTGGTTACTATTGACAATAAGAACAAGCTTGGAATGCATGATTTGCTAAGAGACATGGGAAGAGAAATAATTCGTGAAAAATCACCTGATGATCCTGAGGAACGTAGCAGGTTATGGCTTAGTGAAGAAGTTATTGATGTATTATCACAATATAAGGTATGAACTTCTTGTATGATTATATAAAGCTTGTAATACAATAGGAACTAAAATAGACATTTGGATTCATAATTATCCCATGAAATATTATTATAGCTCTTAAACGTCATAAAAAGCTGTTTAGCTATGAGATATGTAAACTATCTATTTTTGGTTTCTCTTATTATTTTATTTTAGGGAACAAAAGCTATTAAGGGACTGACTTTGAAGTTACCAGAAAAAAATACAATTTGCTTGAAGACCAAAGCATTCAAGAAGATAAATAGTCTTAGACTGCTTCAACTTTCCGGTGTGCAACTTGATGGGGATTTTAAATATCTTTCAGGAGATCTTAGATTGCTATGCTGGCATAACTTTCCTTTAAGTTGCATGCCTGCAGAATTTCGTCAAAGAAGTTTAGTTGCCATTGAATTGAAACATAGCAATCTTAAACAAATGTGGGAGAAGGCCCAGGTATAAACTCTTGATTTTTATTTTGTTCATGAGCTGTTTTCACTAATCTTATTTTCAGATGCAACAAATCCAAATTTAGCATTTCATATAGATTTTCAGTTTTAGTATGTTATGGTTTTATGAAGTAGTGAAAAGAAGAAGGGTAAAACACAGAATGAAGCATTAGATGTTTCAATACCTATCTTGATTTCTTTAAGTTAATTTGATAATGCCAGTAATTTTGGTAATAGTATCTATTTCACTAGACATTCTTGAAACATTTTTTTCTCTTGCAATACATGTAACACAACTCTTTTTTTAACTTTAAAATTAAAATTCAGTTAAGTTTTGAAGTTAAAATTTTTAGTTCAAGTTAAAACTTAAAAGCATATAATCATCAAAAGAGAAGTGTGGATCAGGATTGAAATCTTTTTTGTTTTATTAGAGAATATTTCATATTAAATATCATTCCAAATTGAGCGTGGATGTGTCAACACACACTAAGTGAGAGCAATTATTTATTGTAAAAGTGGGAGGATTAAAACATAAAATTATGTGGCTTAAAGTAATCAGTGTCATGTTCTAGTATCAAGGGTAATTATAAACTATCTTCCTTTTCGTCTATTTTTCCAATGCTTCTTCTCTTTTATTTATATTGAAATTTTATTTTCTTCTTGCAGGTGCTAGTGAATCTAAAAATTCTCAATCTTAGTCATTCCCATGACTTGACCAAAACGCCAAACTTTTCGTACTTGCCTAATCTTGAAAAGCTATTACTTAAAGATTGTCCAAGTTTGTCTGCTATCTCCCATACTATTGGATATCTAAATAAGCTTCTTCTGTTAAATTTGAAAGCGTGTACGGGCCTTCAAAAGCTCCCCAGAAGTATCTATAAATTGAAATCTCTGGAAACTTTAATTCTTTCTGGATGTTCAAAGATTGACAAGTTAGAGGAAGACTTGGAACAGATGAAATCTTTGACAATTTTGATTGCAGATAATACTGCCATAATGAAAGTCCCCTTCTCAATAATAAGATCAAAAAGCATTGGATATATTTCTTTATGTGGCTTTGAAGGATTTTCACGTGATATATTTCCTTCTCTCATTTGGTCTTGGATGTCACCAACAAATATTTTGTCATCCCTAATTCAATCAAACACGAGTATGTCTTCTCGTGCTTTCCTAGATGGCCCAGATAGTAGCTTTTATAGTGTATCATCTATTTTGAAGGACATTCCAAAACTTCGAAGCCTTTATGTGGTGTGTGACTCAGAATTTCAACTAAATCAAGATGTTGGAAGAATTTTGGACATCTTAAAAGGCACAAATCATAAGAAATTGGAAGCAAGTGTATTTATGTCACAAATCTCTGATGTGAAAAGTTCTCCATTAGTTGATTGTCATGGTCAAATTCATGTTTTAGAGTCAAAGAATTTTCTAAAATCCCTTTTAATACAGATTGGAGCTAAAGGTCAGATGCTCAATATTCTCAAAGAAAGTATTTTACAGGTTTGTATATTTATTATGTGTATCTCTTTCTTTCTTTCTTTCTTTCTTTTCAAGTAAACAAGTATTTTATTCTGAAAATTTTCTTATTTACAATTTTGTTATTAATTTGAACCACACAATAATTTGGTTTTAGATATTTAAAATCATCTTAATAGTACGTAGTCTCTGAAACGGTTGTACAATTCAATGGCTAAATTGTGCATATAATTTAAATAAAAAATTAAATTGATTGATGTAATATATTGAAGATCGAAAGGCCATGTTACCTTTTTATTTATATTTAGATGATTAGATATATGTACTTTTACAAATAAAAAATAGGTAAACATTTATTGAATCACCTTTTCTAACAGTTAAATTATTTAGATTATCTACTATCATATGAGTTTAGAGTTATTGTTGAAATACTTGTATATTGTCAAGAGAGTGGTTTGAATAGAAATAAATTTTAAGAATTAATATGATTTTATAAATAGTTTTTTTTTTTTTTTGAAAAGTTACAGCATAAGATCTGATTTGATTTTGAAATTCTTGTAATTTAAGTGTTTGTATTAATATAAAATCTAAAATTTATTTTTATCTATTTTGTGAAAAATTTGTATATTTTATTTATTTATATTTTTAGGTAATATGGGTGAAGAAATGAAAAAATGAAAAATATGAAGCCAAAAAACTAACCAAGAATCAGGTCCTAGGGGCTCCAAAACAAGAATTTGTTTTGATTTAGTTTTAAAATAAGTAGCATAAATAAGTTTATTCATTTTTAAGGCATTCCAAACATTAAATTTGATTATAAAACAATTGCACGGTACTTTTTGATTTGTGATCAGTCATTGACCGGCCCAAATTGTTGTTGTGTTTTACAATTTTTATATATCTTTACCTATTGAATTCAAGTTATATTATTTTTGGCACTTTTCAAACATTTGTTTCTTGTACAGGCTACGCATGGGATTGGAGATTTTCTTTCCTTCCCTGGTGATAATTATTTTGATTGGTTAACCTTCCATTGTAAAGGTTCTTCGGTAATATTTGAAGTCCCACATATGAATGGACATAACCTGAGGAGCATGATGTTGTCCATTGTCTATTATTCTCCCGATGACATAATATCAGAGGGGTGTCAAAATGTGTTAATTAATAATTACACTAAGAGAACCATTCTGGTTTATAAAAGAGATACACTAACCTCCTTTGAAGATGAGGACTGGCAGAGCATAACATCAAATCTAGAACCTGGTAACAAGGTGGAGGTTATTGTTGTTTTTGGGCATGGATTCTTTGTGAAGAATACAACAATATATCTCTTATATGATAAACAAGTTGATGAAGCAATGGAACACTGCTATGCAGTAGATAGGGATGATATAGTTTCTGGTCATGAAGTAACAATGTGCAAAAGTGTTAGTGATTCTGGTGGTAATGATATAGCAACAGAGAAAAATTTTCCTTTTTCTGGTGCTGATGGTATGCCAATGGATAAGATTGTTGTTTCTAAGGGTAATGCATATGTATGTGATAATAAAGACTGCAATGCTGTAGACAAGGATGTTGTTTCTAGTGACGATATGGCAGATGAAAAGAATTCTACTATTACTAGAAGTGATGATATCCCAGCAGATAAGAATGTAAATGTTTCTCACACAGATGAAAATGTAAGTGACAATAATCCGAACGTTCTTGTTTTTTCTTTCAATACAAGTTTCTTTCTTTTATATTATGATGCTAGCAGGATTTAACCATTGAAATGTACTTGCCTACTGATTTAGTTGAAGCCATTGGACACGTTGAATTTCTTCCAATACTAAAAATACGATTTTACATTTGTACTTTAAATTGAACTTAAAATATTTATTTGTTTATCCCTCTAATTATTTGATCCTAAGTTGTCTTTCTTTATGGGTTTAGACACTTGGTAGACTTTTCACACTTCCTTCCCTTGTCCGTGCCATTCTAATCTCACGACCAATCTGGATTGGTCTGGTTGTCATTCTAATTTGGCTCTCTTGCCGCCATTCAAACAAGCGAAGAAGTGGTAGTCTCATTACAAGGTAATAACTTTCTTTTGTTGAAACATTTGTGTGTTGGACTTTGATAGTTACTATTTGTTACTCATGTAAGCTTCCCGTAAGCGGGACTGTCCATTATGTGGTTTGCTCGGAAATGTCACTTATCATGCACTTTTAAGTACTTCGCCCTTTAAAAAAAAAAAAAGAACACAGAAGGACTTGGCCCTTTAAAGGCAAGCATTGGGTAGTTAGGCTTTGAAATGCTTATTCTTCTTATTGATCGGAGAAGGAATAGAAGAGTTGAGTTGCTTGTTTTTAATAAAAAAAAAATATGTTCATATATTCATTTTTCTATTTATAATTTGTGCTAGTCCTCCATTAATTTGGTATACACCATGATTAATTTCATGAAAGAAGTATGTGAGAAACGTTCGGTGCAAACTGTTTTTTTTATTAGCAGATATGTATATGACTGAACCCATGATGTTCATGTAGTGTAGTTTGTTATAGAAACTCAAAAAATTAACTTGAGACGTCAAATTTCTTCAGGAATTAGGATTTGTTCATGCTACTCATTATCGTAATATGATTCTAACATGAGTTAATATCTATTGTTTAGATATATACTTTGAATTTTATTTGTTCTCCCTTAAATCATGTTGGAGACTTGGCAAATTGTTGTGAGTAGTAAATAAGGCAGAAATTAAATATTATGATCAATTGCAGATATATACTAAAGGGAAAGTGGCTAGTGGATTACATACAAAAATTTCTTGCTTTCAAGAAGGCCAAGGAAGCCCGCAGTGTCATTACTAATGCTAGCAGTGGCAGAGTTTGGCTGAGGAGTTAATGGAATTAAAGTTATGATGAACCATTGATCAACGGGGAGCGAGATAACTAAACTAAATAGTGTGCAAGTTTAAAGGAATTGATGTGTCTTCAATTTAGTACAGAAAGTTTAAAGAAATTGTTTCACTTGATCAGGTGACGTGACAGCAAAGCCAGCTTTGTTTCCCCACCTTTGTATTGCTTGCTTGGTCTTTATGATGTTTTTATTCTACTTTTGAGTATATTAGAGAACATGGACAAATGGTTTCTAGAGGGATGCTGAGTCATGATTTTGTCCTTTTCTCAGTATTCTTTTTGTATAGATACAACTGTCTAAGTAGTACTGGTTTTTGACTGATTCTTTGTAACAAATTCGTTAGGAATACGTCCCTCAGAATCTTGTATATATAGCCTTCCTTTCTGTAAAATCACTATGTGAAAAGGTAGGCATTCCCCTATTTTACAGTCTCTTGTCATTTCTTCTCTCAAAGTTCATTTTTCTATTAGCTCTAGTTGCTGCATTCTGCCGTGATTGACCCATCACAAGACATCTCCTCTCCATATTACCTTCATGCTTCAGAAAATACATATCTATCCATCATCCCCAACGTTCTTCAAGGACCAATATATCATCAATGGTCTGGACCAGTTCATATGAGCCTCGTTTCCAAAAGCAAGCTTGGCTTTGTTGATGGAACTGTTGAATCATTGAGTATATTAATTCTTTATACCCAACATGGTGTTAGGGTAGGAAGAGAAGAATTAAAAAATAGGAGAATTTTTATTATTTGTCACACAAAATACATGAGTATAATCTATTATTTATAATAGTCGTATAATGAGTTTGAACTTACATCAAATAATTCTCATTATGTCACTAGATGCCAAGTGGTTACAAATGAAAAAAACCATTGTCTTTAACTCACTCTAACACACAACTTTTCATCTTTGTATCTTGTGCTCTACTTTACTTCTTAATTATTATTTCTATCTTTCCTTAATTAAAATTTTTTTCTATACTCTAAGTCTTTTCTTTGCTCTTTTAAAATCTTTAAACTCGAGTATTTTGAAAAAAATATCTGCAACTTGATCTTTAGTCTTCATATAAATCTACTTCACTTCTTTCTTAGCAATGCATTCTTTAATGAAGTGATACTTGATATCTATGCATTACTACAGTCATGAAACAATGTGTTCTTGATTTTTCTCCACTTTGGTCCTTCATGATTTCATTAAAATTCAAAGGTTCATTATCAACAAACAAAAAACAAATTCTTTATCATTTGAGTTTTATTATAAAATTCTTGAAGACTTGTAATTTTTTTAGCCTTTCACTTGAACCCTCTTTAGAAGACGACAAGGTTTCATGAGCTGACGAAAGAGATGAAATAGAAACCTCATTTGGTGCTTAGCCTCTTTCTTGATCTCTTTCTTCAAAGCATGGAAAAAAATTATAAGTATCTTCTTTCTTCTCCCGATTTCAAACTTCTACATCAAATTCAATATCCGGACTCATATCTATTTTGCCATTGCTTAAGTTGTATAATTTGTAACCTTTTGAGTTTGTATCATAGTTAATGAAGTGAATGAATACATACTTCACACTGTAGCTATCAAACTTGGATCTTCTTTAGTCGAGTACATGAGCATATGCAATGCTCCAAAAGACTAAGATGGTCAACTCTTGACTTCACTCCATTCCACGTTTTTTGCTGTATTTGATCTTTAATATTCCTTGTAAGAGAGCGGTTAGACAAATATAAACTGTAAAAGTAATAACTTCGACTTAAATTTCTTTAGGGATATTTTCATCTTTTAACATATATCTTGCATATTAGGAACAATCCTATTTATTTTTTTTACTACCTCATTTTGTTGGAGAATTTTAGAAATCATTAGAAGGCGACGAAGTTCATTTTTTTTTCACAAAAATTATTAAATTCTTTTTATGTGAATTTGCTACCTCTATTGAATTTTAGAGCTTTGATTGCATAATAATACTTTTTTTTAACAAGTTCTTTAAAATTTTAAAAGCTACAAATGTCTCAAATTTTTGCCTTAAAAAATACTCAACTTTTTCTATTAAAATATCAATAAAGAGCAAAAACTATTTATTTTTATCAAAAGATGCAGGATCAATTTTGCTCTTGATTCAACTTCTTTAAGAAAGTTTCTTCTTGCATGCTTGCTAACGAGACATTTCTCACACAATTGATTGAGATGGTTACAGAGAGAATCCCTTTCATCATTTTCTCATATCCTAAAGCCTTGAGTGCACTAAAGTTAAGTGTGTAAATCTTATGTACCAATACCATGATTTATTTTTAATGCTAGCTTTTAAATATTTTGCTTCAATGGTCTTATTGTTTAAAACAAACATTCTATTTCTTGACATAAACACATTGACAATCAAATTTATAATTTTGATTTCTAAGTCACAAATAACAATGTTTCATAAGAATTTCATATTCCTATTCAACAAGTTGTCTCAAACTTAAAATATAATTTTTTTATTTTAGAAACATAATAAACATCCATGATAAGTTTGTGAGTATCATCTTTTAAAGAAATTAAAATAATATCTTTTCCTTGGATTTACACAGAATCTTCAAAGGAAACATTCATTTTCACCTTCTATCAAGTTCTACAGACTTTCCACACGTGATTACTTGCTCTATTGTCAAGATACCAAGATACCATAAACATTTGTCATCTTTCTCTTTATTATTAAGTGTTAGCAACAATGTTGACTCTTTAACTTCTTTCTCTTCAATAAAGTTGATATTATCTTCAACATTTGTTTTGCACTCTCAAGAGTAATAATTATATATATGACAATTGAAACATTTAATATTAAATTTATCATACTTCCTTTTATTTGTCTTACCAAAATTGTCTCTTCCTCTTCCACTACCTTTAATGAATTGATAATTATCTTCATTATTGTCAAAATTATCATGATCTCCTCTTTCTTGACTACGGTCATGTCCTCTTCCATGTTTAAATTCTCTTCCTCTTTGCTTTATTTCTTCTCGATTTTCTTTCAACGAGACTTTGGTTTAAAGGACATGCTCCAAAAACTCTTCTTGCTTTCTCTTAAATCTCTCTTCATAGGCTTGAAGCAAATCCATCAACTGGTCTATAGATATTGAACTAAATTTTTTGACTCTTCAATAGCACAACCATATAGTCAAAATTTATGGTTTAGGAGCGAAAGTTTTTTTTCTAGCATGCAAAAATCTTTTACCTTTTGTCGATATTATTTCATTTGGTTTACAACAACTATTAGTCTATTACCAATATCTTAAATAGACTAAAATTCTTTCTATGCAAAGATTCTAGCCCATCGTAGAATTTTTAAATGCACATTTTTAACCTTGTCAATCTCTTTAAGATAAGTCTTTAACACCTCTCAAGCTTCTTTTGAGGTGGTTGTATTAGACATTACCTCAAACATGACTTAATCTAAGTCTTGATGGAAAAAGACAAGTTCTTATTGATTTTCTTTCTTTTCCATTGTCAAAGTTTCTTTCTCATTTTGTGACGAAATAGCCTTGTTTTGAGGCTTTTCATAACTTTTTTTCATAATCTACCAAACATCTTGAGATCCTAACAAGACCTTCATCTCGAGAATATCTCACTGTAGTAAGAGTGTCGCGACCAGAAGGGTATTTGAAGGGTTAGGGTTCGAGAAGAGGGTTATTTTCACGATTTTCCTCTCTCTCCTTCACGATTCTCTCTACCCAAACCCTTTCCTACCGATTAAAAGCCCTCCAAGACCAATTGGAAGCTAGATTGAGGATTAGGGAAGTGTTTGGAGCTCTTGGAGGTAAGTTCTATGGTTAGAGTTTTGGTTTTCGTCCCTTACTTTCATTTTCTGAGGTTTTCCTTAAGTTCCCTTGGAATTGTTGTGTGCTTTAGCGACGAAATTCGTGTGGGGAAGTGATTCCATCAACGTTTTGTGTCGGGTTTTCATTTTTGAGGTAAGGGGAGTACATTACTTTAGTTATCTTTGCTAGGAATGAGTTTATTAGAACGAATATAGTAATGTGATAGAAATAGGAGATGAGGTTATGTGTATTGATGAATTGTACGAATTGGGTTGAGTCTGGAGGTGTCTGACCTCCGGCATATTGTGTGAAATTGAGTGATGTGCTTGTGTTGGCTGTCATTGGATGCAAGGAAATGATGTGAATTATGTATTGAATATTGTGAATGGGCTTGGGCACTTGTGTCGTATAATTGAATGAATATTGTGTGAAATATGGGCTCGAGGGTCGTGTAATATGAATGGAAATAGGCTAAAGGTTGTGTGTCTTGAATGAATTGTGGGCTATGTGCCGAATATTGAAATATGTGTGACTCGAACATGCAACGCCGTTATAATGTGCTATGAATAGTTCAGCGATACACTGGGGGTGTGGGAGATGAGGACGGTAAAAATACCTTAGGAAAGAGGGAGTGGTGGTGACACCAACTGTTGAACGGGTGCACTACAGGTCACATACTCTCTTCTTGACTAGACCTTTGACCATTACGTTTGCTGAGCAACCTGTGACTGCCCACGTGGTATTCGTGAGGCGGGAGTAACCGGTGACTATTCATGGTGTAAATCTATGATCACAGTGTAAATGTGAGTGTGGCTGGTGTGCGTATGCATTGGTTTATGATTTGTGCTTGTGGATGTGATAACGTTGCCTGTGCTTGTATTTGTTTAATGTGTTGAAAATGTGTTAGAGGTGAGACTCTATACTTAATTGTATGTTTTGGTAATGTAGAGTACTCACCCTTACATTTATTTTTCAGGTGATCAAGACGATCAGCACCAGACTCGGTGAAGGGGAGGATGGAACTGCTATAGGGCTTAGAATATTATTTTAAAAATTTGTTGTATTTGGAATAAGTCATGTAGCAATTGTTCGATATAATTTATAAACTCACTCTTTATTTGAAGTGCTTAATGAACTTAGATTGAAAATGAAAATTTTATTATTTCAAAAATTTTTGAAATTCTTTATTTATTGAAATTAAATTAAGGTGTTACAATTATTTACCATCTCTCAATTTTTAAAGTGTTTCTCTCAAT